CGGATTCACCTATTACTGCCTGTTGATTAACATTGGTATTTCGGAGTCCCAACTGAGTCTGCTTGAGTATGATTGTTTGGGTACTGGGTATTTGTTTCATTGGACTATTTCTGTGTGGTCCATCTGGGGTTTGATTCTGCCCTACTGTTGCTGCTGTCAAATTTTTGCTGCTGCCATTTCTCTTTGTTGCTGTTGCTGACTTCTCTACCTTCTGCTTCTTCTTTTGCATTTCAGCATCCAGGTACACACTTCTGAAACTATGGGTTGATGTAAGCTTGAATTGGAAGTTGAATTGAAATAAACAAAGAAATTAAATGTTCACATGCTTTCCCAATGTCTGTGCTCAAGATGTAGTAACAGGATGAATGATAAAGTAGTTCGTGGTTGTTTAGGTTCATCCCAATTGTATTTACTTTGCATGAATTGGAACGTACTCGAACTCGATTTTGGGACTGTTAAATAGTACAGTGCTAGATCAATTAGACATATGTCCATGTGTTTTAGCATTTTAGTTTGGTTGGTGATGATAACATAACACAGAATATTAGCAGGCATTTGTATGTATCCCATTGGATCTTTGAACTGTTTTACCATGGCCCGATCCAGTTTGATTTTAACGCATATTTCAAGCAAATTTTCATATTACGTTAGTTAATGACAATGGATTAACCATTAATGTCAACTCTCTTGTTTGAATTCCCTGTTTCAATATAGGTTTAATAGTGTAGTTTAATAATTAATGTTAGCATCGGCTCACCATTCAAATAAAGCGGCTATTAATTTTATAGAATCAGCAGGTTTTACATATTTGGGAGTACGAATCAATGGTGCGGGGTTAAGAGCTTTAATCTAATAAGCGTGAATCTAGCAAGATGGTTAAAATTTAGATCTAGTAAACTTTCAAATAAGCACTAAGACTCAAGGTTGATGTTTATTTTGAATAGTCAAAAACAATTATTGGTCTATCCACATAATTATGTGAAGCTAACCTAGTTATAGAATAATTAATCTTCTTCGAATATATTATTTTGTCGATTTTTGTATTTATTTATATTTCAAATTTTAAGTAACATTCCCTTCTGTTGACATTTGTCTTAATCTAGTATGTGATATGTTATGTTTGTAGCACGTAACTAAATAAGACTTTCCTTTATTTTTAGAAACAAAATTAATAGAAATGTAGTCACTTTAGGATATCCTTCTAAAATAACGGGACGAGCCTCGCCAAATAAAAAATGTAAATTGTGGGGCCCTCAATAATTGGTCATAGTAAATACTTAGAAGTTGGGATGGACTGTTTGGTGAATGTCGCTGCCTTCCCCAAAGATAATAACACGTTAGACTCTTTAGGCGCGACTTAATTAAATTACATTCTTAAATTCGGGTGCGCATTTATGTGACCCAAATTCAAATCTCAACGGAATCGAAATATGTTAACAACTACGGGTGCGTTGATTGTGACGTGGTTCGAGATGCATTTTCACGGTGTTGCAATTCTATAAAAACAAATGATAATAATAAAAGCGGTTTAAACTTAATAAAAGCACATAAGTCACAACATGTATTCAAATCAGATATTTAGCCATTATAACAATTTAAGCGACCGTGCTAGAACCACGGGATCCGAGGGTGCCTAACACCTTCCCTCGGGTCAACAAAATTCCTTACTTAGAATTTTTGGTTCGCAGACTTCATTTGGAAAAGTCAAAAATTTCCGCGATTTGGGATTCAAGATAAACCGGTGACTTGGGACACCAAAAGCTAAACCTTTTCCAAGTGGCGACTCTGAATTAAATAAATAATCTCATTTTGAATATTTTCACTTAAATTGGAAAAACTCTCTCGCGCATCTATTCCTCGGGGTGGGCGCGCAAAAAGGAGGTGTGATAGTTGTCAGTTGTATTTATATGTATTTATAGTTGCCAATTGTATTTAAATGTATTTATAGTTGTTAGTTGTATTTATAGTTGTTAGTTATATTCATATATATATATATATATTTATAGTTGTCAGTTGTATTCATATGTATTCATGTCAGTTGGCTTATGAAAAATGTGTTGCATTCATTTGTATTCTGTTCAGTTGTATTATGACATATTTGTTGTATTCAGTTTACTATAAAAATATGTGTTGTATAAAGTTGATTTTAGTTCTATTCATATGTATTCATGTCAGTTGTATTAATGAAATATGTGTTGTATTCAGTTGTATTTATATGTATTTTACATTTGTTAAATGCAGGGAATTAAGCTGTTTGTGAAAAAATAGCCTATATTTGCACCGCATATCAGTGTATATACTAACACTGACATATTCTCTAAGCTAAAAGAAAATCTTTCGCCAGAGCAGTACAACCAACTGGGTAATACTTGTTTTGGAAATTTCCTTCGCTGCATAGTTGAAAATGCAACATGTTTTTAACTGAATCTGTATGATGTATTTAATGGCATCATTATTCATGAAGTACTGCTGTATTTTAATGTATTATGCTGTATTTTCAAAGTTATCAGTAGTTTGTAACTAACATATGTATTACGGTAATATGAATTTTGCTGTAATAAAGGAAATTCACGTGTATTTTTCTGTATTCAGCTATATTATTCAGTTGTATTCAGTTGTATTCTTTAATATGTATCTTTCTATATTCAGTTATATTCAGCTATATTTTTCTGTATCCAGCTGTATTATTCTTTAATATGTGTGATGTATTGGAGTAACACTATGTAATTAAATTTGTGTATAGCATATTGACGTCATATTCTACTATCTGAGAAAGAAGGGAAAGTACAACCAAAAAAGCAACTTCAAGTATGCAACTGTTGATTGAATATTCAAGACAAGAATCGCTAAAATCTTCGACAGGTATGCTGATACAGATAGTAATGCTAATGTAGCCAAAGAAGAGGATGTGGTATGTGAGTACATAAGGGGCTACAGATCGCTAGCTAATGTACCTTGGTATACGGTTGACAACGTCTTGATACCAGTCAACTTGAAGGATAAACTACACCGGATATTGGCTATTATCTCATATAAGGAGAGAGATGTATCAAAGTGAATGACTCGTACAGATCTGCAGGTCATGATGCCTATGTAGCTTCTGAGATAGATAAGCTAGCTAAGCTTGTACCTCTGTATCTATCAATCAGTGGCTTTTACAGAGATAGTCAAGGCATAGATTGGTCTACTTACTCAGCATACACTGACAAGTCACATACTGATCCCTTTGAAGTTGTTTTCATATCAAATCTGCCTCAACAGAAAGTTGGGAGCATGTATATATTCAATCATCATTCTTGTATCATTTTAAAAATCTAATTGTATGAATTATTTTTAATTGTTTCAATCAACATTTTTCAGGGATTGCGGGGTGCATGTTGCGGCATACGCAGAGTTTCTGAGCACTCTTGGTGAGATTCCACAAACAACATTTGATTCCAATCTACTTCGTCAAAGATATGGTGCTCTCCTCTGGGACTATGCTATGCGGAAGATAGACGCTGATGCTATAAGCGATAATGAAGCACCCTCAAAGATTGTTAGGAAAATCACGGAGTCAGATTCAAAGTTGCAGATAGTGTTAGAGTAGCTTTAGGTGAATGTTGTTTTTAAGTGAATACTGTTTTTTGAATAGTTTTTTGGTGAAGATGGTATTCAGATAGAAAAAATCATGTTTTAATCACTTTACCAACAGTGTTCGTGTATGACAATTACAACTTTTCAATCTATGTTTCATTGTTTTGTTCATAAGTATTCATGCTTAATCTTCAGTTTATATTCATATGTATCTTACAGGATATAAGTATGTATTAATATTCAGTCACTTGGCTTGAACAGGTTAATATCAAAGTCAGAAACTGTATGTATATTGAACAAGTTATACGTAATTATTGAAATTGTTATATTATAGTTGAGTATATAGATGTATTCCGATGTATTCTGACTAGTTTTGTATATTTAACTCAGACACTGTCTATGATTGTATGTCTAAGTATATGTGGACAAGGTTGTATTCGATTGTATTCAACACAATACTACAACTAAATGTATGCAGAATCTAATCATGTTATATGTATTTATTGAATTTGTTATATTATAGCCGAGTATATAGTTGTATTCCGATGTATTTTGACTATATAACTCAGGCACTGTCTATAACAAATTGTCAAAGTATATGTGGACAAGGTTGTATTCGAATGTATCCAACACAGTACTGAAACTAAATGTATCTATAATCTATTCACGAAAGGCATTTAAGAATTTATTACTTGACTATTTCATTATAAGTATTGACAAATCGTTGGAGCACTAATACATGTCAGAGTGTTAACTAAATCCTACGTGGAGAATTTCTACATGTTCGCTTGTTATGTCCTCCCTGCCCACATATACTACATGAATGTTGATTTTTCGGCTGCAGCAATTCACTTAAAGGTTTATCGCACTTCTTCTTTGACCTTCCAGGAGGTCTTTTCTATGTGGGTGGTAATACAACCTCCTCTGCAACATGTGCTGGTATATTCCAGTCATTTTTGTCCGGTAGCGGATACACAGGCAAATTGTATGTCATTACAACAGAATTTGGTTTGTAATAGTTAGAGCAATATTCTTCTGGCATTAGAAACTTGTTCTTCAATATAACCCAAACATGTGGTCATGGTAATTCATCAACTTGGAACCTCCCACAAATATATTTTCTCTCTAACAGGCAGACGATGTAATGCTTCCCTCCATCGTTAACCATATGTAAGTATTCAGTTGATGGTACCACCTACATTTAAACATAGACCTATTAGTATTGAGCACATATAACTGAATTACCATATGTATAGTGCTGAATTACTCAGTTACATACAACTGAAATGTTTGAATACAGAAGAATACATCATATATTTAGACTGGCAGACTATAAACTATAATTACGTCTTATCTTATGAATACAATGACATACATCAAAAATCTGCTGTACTTTAGGCAACTGAAGTGTAACAAAAACATTATAAGGCTACGACATGACAATACGTCTATATAAAAAAATCTGTATAATATAGATTTTTTGGTTGTATTTTGATGTATTCGAATAGTTGTATTTATAATGATTTTCAAAGTTCCCATCAGTGTTTTATTCTAATTGCAATGTCTTTATTTGTTGTATGTGTATGTATTATATTAGGACATATATTTCTATCAATGATATCTTACTCCAGTTGATTTTTACAGCATGTATTTAGTTGTATTCATATGTATTCATGTCAGATCTTCGATAAAATATGTGTTGTATGCAGTTGAATTTAGTTGTATTCACATGTATTCATGTCAGTTATTTCAGAAAACAATTAAGCTATATAATACAATGACATTAAAATAAAACTTACAGTCATGCATATAGACATTGCCTCATTCAGAGTCAACATCTCTTGGTATTTTTTCCCAAGCGTTGTGTATGTCTGTGTAGCTTCTTTGTGGTTACTACAATTCCAACGTCCAAACATCTTCCTAACTTCTTCGAGGAAGTCGTATATTGGCAATTCCCTTGCTGACACTAGTGCGGCATTGATTGACTCAGCAATATTTGACGTCATTGTCCATCCCCTGTTAACAGGTGCATACAACCTAGCCCACTTTTCGTATCCAGCTAACTCCAAGTATTCTTTCACCCTAATATCTACCTTCTCCACCTTCTCCATCAGACTGTCAAATTCAGCTTGTGTGTATGCTTTTTCCATCGAGAAGTATATCTCGTTCAACTTGGCATGGCTCTTTTTGAATTTCTTATATACGTTGTTCCATAGATGCCATATACAAGCAAAATGCAATACATCTGGATACACTCTCGATACAGATTTAATGATACTCTCATTTCTATCTGAAAAAATGCACATGTTTTCCCTGTCACCGTATGCTATCTTGAATTGCTCAAAGAACCACGTCCAAACAACATCGTTCTCTGAATCAATAATGTAAGCACGTGATTTTTGCCCTATGAAAGAATTACTCCCCAAAAATTCAAAATAAAATAATTTTTCCTTGGTGTGCAATTTTTGAATTTTTGTATAATTATTTGTATTTTTGTCTGTGCATGTTTATTTGTTTAAAATAAAATATAAAAAATAATAAAATATGTCGCATTTTCGTTTAGTATTTATTTAAGTTTGTTTTACAAAAATAAAAAAAATCATATAAAAAAAATATAATAATAATGAACGTTGCATTTTAGCATTTAACGTCTAAATTGTGCGATTTTATCGTTAATTGCTATTTAAATATGCGATAATAGTTATTTGGAATTAATTAGTATTTTTTTGATAAGTTAATTTAGTTTATAACTTAATTTAGAATTTTAGTTTTATTAATTAGAAAGTAAAAGAAAATAGAGCAAAAAATATAAAAAAATCGGAATTGGGCCTCTTCTTCAATTTCAAACCACAGGCCCAAAGATACCCAACCTTCCCCATGACCCAGTCCATTTCAACCCGGGTCGACCCGGTCCGCCCCATAACTAAACCACCCGCCCAACCCCTTTTCTTCATTTTCATTTTTTGTATCCCCAAACCCTAAAGAACCTACCCGCCCCCTCCCTCTTCTTCTTCTCCAAAACCAAACCCCTCCAAAACCTAGCAGCCATAGCTGCCCCCTTCATCCCTCTCATCTTCTTCGAGCTCTACCACCCCAACACCATCTCCTTCACGTCCGAACGATCCCCGGCAGCAACTAAGCGACCACCTCACTGCCATCACCACTGTCCGTCGACCACTAAAGCAGATCGCGTTTCTACAGCGTTACCACTATTGCGCTCCAGCTCGCTTCTGTTCCTTCTGCTACATCCAGCCATGGACGAGCTTCATCGTCTCATTTCTGCCATGGCTGCATCTTCAAGCTCGAGAGCATCGTCTTCCAGCTCGTTGCTGCTGCGCTGCTGCTTCACTTCATCGTCGCTACTGCTGCCTTCTGCTACGACCAGCCATGGATGACCACCAAAGCTCCCATATCCATCGAGCATGCGCAACAGTAGCAGCTGCTACTGCCTCACCACCTCTTCGCCTTCTGCTTCGTTTTTCAAACGACACCAAACGACCATCTTCTTCAATGGTCCGTTCGTGGTCGTCTTCGGCGTCGAGTTATTTTGGTGCGATAATTGTTTCCGGGCAGATTTGTTTTCGTTCGAGTTCATCATCGTTCCGATCCGGTTAGTTGGTTTAAGTTTTGTTTCTGTCCGTAATTTGTTTGATATGTTCGGATCTGAAATTAGATATGTTCGATATTAGTTTCGTGTTTATCATTTTGTTATTTTCTTCAGTTTGTTTCATTTTTTCTTGTTTATTATTTTTAGGTAGAAATTGATTAGCTTAATTATAATATTGCTAGATTTAAGTTGAAGATTCAATTAAGTATTTTTCAGTTTGTTTTATTAATTTAAAAGGATTTAATTTTAATATAGAAGAGTGTTAGTTTAAATCGCTTGAATCCGAAATTAGTATAAGTTTGATTTTCTTGTTTGTTGTTTATCATTTATGATTATTTCTTCAGTTTGTTTCATGATCTTGTTTAATTTTAATATAGAAATTGTTGGTTGTAATGTTGTTAGATTTAATTTTAAGTTCAAATGATTATTGAATTTAGAAATTTGAATATACTTGTTTGTTGTTGTTGTTGGTGAATCTGAAAATAGGTTTGTTGTGTAAAAACATTGTTCAGTCAAAATAATTCAAGTTGTTTCTTTGTTGTTCATCATATAGTTTGAGTTTGTTCATAAAATCTGATTAGGAATTGGTTATAGCTGCTATATTTTGGTTAGAATTGATTAGTTGAACTTGTTATAGCTGACGGGGTAGATTGGTAAATTACAATATTTTCAGGGTCAAAATGGTAATTTCGGTAAGGTCAGAGGGGTATTTTTGGAATTAAAATTCTGAACAATTATTTATTTTGAGTGCTCTGTCAATTAAGATTAAAATAATATTAAAATAATCAATAATGGGGGGACAAGATATAATGGTGGGGAATAATGCAATTGTTTAATATAAGCATG